ATGGTTGAACTTATCTGAACAATAACACGCTGGACTCCAGGCTTGGTATATGCTTGCAACGGAAGAATCTCAACTAAATTTGAACTGTGGTAATGCAACAACGTGGAGGAATCCACCATGGGGGAAAGGTTATGGGAGGGATTGGGGGAATCCCAGTACCTATAAAACTGTGTCACATAATGCAATGTAATTAATAAAAATAAATAAATAATCTTTTTAAAAAGTATTTATTTTTATTGCAAAGTCAGATACTCAGAGGAAGAGGGATAGAAAGGAAAATCTTCCATCTGATGATTCACACCCCAAGTGGCCACAGTGGCCTCAGCTGAGCTGATCCTAAGGCAGAAGCACAAAGCCTCCTCTGGATCTCCTGTGCAGGTGCAGGGTCCTGTCCTGGACTGCTTTGCCAGGACACAGCAGGGAGCTGCATGGGAAGCGGGGCTGTTGGGATTATAACCGGCACCCATATGGGATCCCAGCACATGCATGGCAAGGACTTAAGCCGCTAGGCTACTGCACTGGGCCCATATATTAATATTTTAAAACTGATTTAACAAATATTTTTATACATGATGAAGTAGAAAAACATGGGGTTTATTTTTCTCATCTGTGAAATGGTACACAAGTTACGTAACTTTTATCATTTTAAGATTTTTATTTTTGAATTTTGAATTTTACGGTGCAATTCTATAATCTGGGATTCCCCACTCCCCCAGATTCCACTCCCCAACTGATTCTCCCCATATTGTTACAATAGTACAGTTCTTCATAAGGAGTTATAATTCCATCACAAGTTACTTAATACATGTCATTGGGCTGCTCAGTAACACTGAACTGATACTTCAATCCTAGGTAAAATGTTGAGTCTTCTTTTCTGTACATATGAAGCCATATGGACAGACAGTGAGAGAATCACTAAAATAAATTTAGTCCAAGAAACCGCTGCAACTGTAACTAAATATAATTTCAAATAAACAGATGAAATACGGGAAGGTAAGAAAGTAAGAATGGCAGAGAAAGGAGGAAAGGAAAGGAATCAATTCATACTAATGACAGACTTCTGACTTATTTAGAGAAAAATAAGATACCAAAATTCTTACAGTTTTCGATAACTATTTTCTAGGAAAGTTTGTATAACAGCCTCTCTCTCGACCTCAAGCTCCATCCCTCACCATCAATAGTAAAGATCACTAAATGAGTAAGAGTATTGAGTCAAGATGGTGTGGTCAGTCAACTTGAATTAGAACTCTAACTCAACCATCCTGAGCTCCTTGATCCACAAGCCTGGGCATCTTCATCTATATTAGTGGGATTATAAAAATATAAATTCCATAAGGTTATCAAATGAAACAATATCGGCAAAAGCTCTGACACCGTGAGAACGTATTTTCAACATGCGATGCTGACCATCAGGATCCCTGCTGTGAGGAAGGCATTCTGGTTGCTCCCCATTGTAATCCTGATTGCATTTCTCTACCAAAAACCACACTGGCTTCCTGCTGTCTGTAAAATTAACTCTAAGCTCTTCACCACGACGTCCTCCCATAACCATAACCACTCTCAACACTACTCCTCTTCTACTTTAAGCCAACTGTCAGACCTCAGCTCTTCAAATACGCAATACTCCCTCTGCTTTTGCATAAGAAGCCTGTTTTGCATGGGTAACTCCTCCCCCTCCCTTCCTTCAGTAAATAAATATTGCTTTTCTGAAAGCCATTTCCCCATACACAGACTAATCTAGATCTATCAGCCTAATAATGTTTAGGGTTAAGATTGAACACAGGGCCCAGTGCGGTGGTGCAGTGGTTAGGGTCCTCGTCTTGCACTCCCGGCATCCCATATGGGCGCCGGTTCTAGCCCAGCAGCCCCGCTTCCCTTCCAGCTCCCTGCCTGTGGCCCGGGAAAGCAGTCGAGGACAGCCCAAAGCTTTGGGACCCTGCACCCGTGTGGGAGACCCGGAAGAGGCTCCTGGCTTCGGATCGGCATAGCATCGGCCGTTGCGCTCACTTGGGGAGTGAATCATCGGACGGAAGATCTTCCTCTCTCTCCTCTCTGTATATCTGCCTTTCCAATAGAAAAAAGTAATAAAAATAAATATTTAAAAAAAAAAAAAAGATTGAACACAAAGGCCAATTTGCTGAGATGGCCATATTGAAAGGATAAAAAGGGTGTGGCACTACTTAACTCTACACTGGTCATTATCTTAGCAATTTGTACATGATTTTAGTCAGACATTGACAATCGTCTGCCTATTCAGTAGTTACAATACAGACTACACTAATCAAAAGGCCTAAATTATTTACTAACTCATTACAAAATGGTTTCTAGATCCCAGTGCAGTAGCCTAGTGGCTAAAGACCTTGCCTGGTATGTGCCAGGATCCCATATGGGTGCCAGTTCATGTCCCAGTTGCCCCACTTCCTATCCAGCTTGCTGTTTGTGACTTGGGAAAGTGGTCCGAGATGGACCAGGGCCTTTGGACACTGCAACCGCATGGGAGGCCCAGAAGAAGCTGCAGGCTCCTGGCTCCTGCCTTTGGGTTGGCTCAATTCTGGCCCTTGTGGCCACTTGGGGAGTAAACCAGCAGACAGAAGAACTTTCTGTCTATCCTCTCTATAAATCTGACTTTCTAGAAAAATAAATAAATCTTTAAAAACAAGCAAAAAATTGTTTCTAAATCCTGGCTAGTGACTCTTGGTTAGGTTTAGGTTTTCTTTACAGTCCAATGCACTGGGATAGCCTACTCCCACAGCTCTCTCTGCTTGCCCTATGGGACACTCTTCTTGTGCATCTGCCCTTTTATGAAGGTTTATTTCCTCATCTGCATGAAATATCTAAGTGACACTGGCATCATCATTACGTCCCTACTGCGTAACATAGCACCTGACACATACAAGGCACTCCTCCCCAGATCTATCACCTGCTGACTTTTCTCTCCTGACCAGGAGTGTTCCCCCATATGCTACTGACTCAGTCTAGTCTATCAATTCTGGCTAACTTAACTTTTTACACATAAAATCATATACACAATTCTTATCTCCACTCCTAGAACACTGAATAATTCTGAACACCAGAAGAGAAAAGAACTCAGAATTTTATAAGAATACAAATGCTCAGTACACAATAATACAAATGCTCAGTTGTGTGGGGATCAGGAGAAAAATAATCATATAATAATTCTATTCTCTTCCAAACTCCAACACAAACTGACAAGCTAACTATCAAGGGAAAGCATCTGGCTGAGTGGTTAAGACACCACTAGCGACGCCCCACATCTACATAACTAGGTGCTTTCCCAGCTCCATCCTCTGATGCCAACGTTCTGCTAATACAGACCCTGAGCGGCAGTGGTGATATCGCAGGAAGTTGGGTTTCTGCCACCCACAACGGAGACCTGGACTAAGTTTCCTTATTCCAGCGGCTATTGTCATCATGTAGGGAGTAGAAAGGAGCTTTCTTTTCCGTTCCCTCTGTGAAGGAGGGAAGGAAGGAAGGAAGGAAGGAAGGAAGGAAGGAAGGAAGGAAGGAAGGAAGGAAGGAAGGAAGGAAGGAAGGAAGGAAGGAAGGGAAGGAAACTAATATAAGTATTGTATAGGTAGGGTTATATACCATCACTATAAATTTGAAAACAGAAAATGAATACACAGCTATGATACAGAAAGAGATGAAGGAAGAATTCATGTCACTTAATACATTTAATAGCTCTTCATAAAGCCAAGGCCTCAGGAAGCCATATCAAACATCCTTATAAACACTTCAATGTAACGCTGAGAACTGATACAACAAAGGCAAGTATTTTTGTATCAAAGAATTAAATACAGGTATTAAAAGTAAACTGATAAAAGGAGACAAACTCAAAGATGTCTACATTATAGGATCAAAGACCCCAATGCCAATACTGAACTTAAAAAAGGGGGGGCTGTAAATTTAAGCTGTTAAACAGCATAGTTTTAACATCTTTTAAGCCAATAAAAAGATGAGTCCATTTTAACCACTAATACAAATAGGCTTATGAATATGTCTCACAAATAGGTATATTTAATTATTTAGCAACCTTCAAATTTTAAATTCATATTGTGATAAAATTGAACACAAAACACTCCTACAAATTACACCAACTTTCTTTTACATACAACTTGAATTGAGAGTGCTATTTATGCTGTATTTCTTTTAAAAAGAAACATATATATATATATTTTTTATTTGTTTACATGCAAAAGTTACAGAAAATAGGTACACAGAAAAACAGAGAGATCTTCCGTCTGCTGGTTCATTCATCAGATGACTGACAGTGAAGGTCAAGGCTGATGCCAGGATCCATGACTTCTACCAGGTCTCCCACATGTGTGGCAACGGCCCAAAAACTTGGGCCATCTTCAGTGGTATTTCCCAGGAGCATCAACAGGGAATTGTATCAAAAGTCAAACAACTGGGTCCAACACGATGGAAGCTAAAGTCCTCGCCTTGCACGCGCCAGGATCCCATATGTTCGCTGGTTCTAATCTCAGCAGCCCCAATTCCCATCCAGCTCCCTGCTTGATTATAGCCTGGGAAAGCAGTCGAGGACAGCCCAAAGCCTTGGGAAGCTGCACCCGCGTGGGAGACCTAGAAGAGCTCCTGGCTCCTGGCTTCAGATTGGCTCAGCACCGGCCATTGCCCTCACTTGTGGAGTGAACCATTGGACAGAAGATCTTCCCCTCTGTCTCTCCTCCCTTCTGTATATCCGCCTTTCCAATAAATGAATGAATGAATGAATGAATGAATGAATGAATGAATAAACAAATAAATAGTCAAACCACCAGAACATGAACTGGTACCCATATGAGATGTCAACAATATGTAATGGGATTCTGCTTTGGTCCAGCTCCGCCTTGATGTAGCAGCCCCTTGGGTAGTGAACCAGCAAATGAAACACGTTTCTCTATCTCTCTCTCTCTGTAGCTCTTTCAAATAATAAATAAATCTTCAAAAATATGTTTAAGAGATCTGTTTCAACTTACCCACGTTTTACGTTGTGTAATTCCTTGTCCTTGCCTTTATCCTTCTCTTTTTCTCTTTTCTCTTTCTCTCTGCCTTTACGCCATTCTCTGTCCCGAGAGCGACTGCGGGTTCTTCTATGGCTCGACCTTTCGCTGCTTCGACTATGGGAACGTGGACGAGGTCTCGACCTGGACCTACAGAAAATAGACGCTATTAAATATCCATTGTATATTTTGTATTATTCGAAATATATACACATACTTCTTATCCAAAAGACAGTACTTAGTTTTAATTATAAGCTTAGGAATTAAACAACCATGTAAAACATGCATATAATTCTTGGCTAAAATGGGTTGTAAGAAAAAGTGTTTTCAAATTTATAGGAAATTAAGGATAAGTCAACAGGTATGGTCAAGTTAAATCTTAAAGATCTGAGCCAAATCTTATGATTCAAGTCTCTATAGATAATCTTAAAAACAAATTAGTCTGGGCCCAGCGTAGTGGTTAAGGTCCTCATCTTCCGTGCCCGGGATCTCATATGGGCGCCGGTTCTAATACATGTGGCCCCACTTCCCATCCAGCTCCCTGTTTGTGGCCTGAGAAAGCAGTAGAGGACGAACCAAAGCTTTGGGACCCTGCACCTGCATGGGAGACCCAGAAGAAGCTCCTGGCTCCTGCTTCAGACTGACTTAGTTCCAGCGGTTGCAGTCACTTAGGGAGTGAACCATCCGATGGAAGATCTGTCTCTCCTCTCTATGTAGCTGACTTTCCAATAAAAATAAATAAATACTAAAAAAAAATTAATCTAATCCACATAGATAGGGCTTTCCCTATTCCTAATATTTGTTTCCATAACCTATACAACCTTATTTATTATTTCTAGCTTACCCCACTAAAGCTATTTATCTACTGTAAGCCACCTCTTCTCTGTATAAAGTGTCTGACAGCATTAAGTAGGACATTTTATATGCCAAAAGGTAATGCCTGGGAGAGGTTTTGTGGTCCCTGCAACCCACGCCGGAGTGCCACTTCAAATTCTGATTGCTCCTCTTCCAGTCCAGCTTCCTGCCAGTGTACACAGCAGACAACAGATGCTGACACAACCATTTGTGTTCCCTGACATCATGTGGGAAACTTAGAGCTCCTGGTTCTAGGCTTCTGCCTGGCCAACCCTGTTTGTTGTGGGCATTTGGGAGTGAACCAATAGAGATAAGATTTTCCTCTTGGTTTTTCTTCCTCCTCCTCTGTTTCTCTACCTTTCAACTTTTTAAATAAAAATGAACAAATCTTTAAAAAAAAAAGTAATTTATTTTTTTGCTATTGAGAGCACTAACATAAAAACTAATATACAGACAATCCTACAGACAACTATGAATCAAGTACGTAAAGGAATTAGAGTGACCAATAATAGGTGGTTAATTTTTTAGGGTGTCAATCCTTGAAAACATGAAACCATAATGAAAAAGATTCCCGTTTTGTCAGGTTCTATTTAGAAGGCAAGCCCAAGTTTGTGCCACATGGAACACCTACAAGAACACAGAAAATCTTAAGAATATCAGCCCCCAAGAGACAAGAAGATAGATTCAGAAAAACCATAATCAACAAGTAAATGAAACGGGAATGATGTAAAAGAGGGACTCAAAGTTCTACACTCAGACTCCCTTTAAATCTCTGCTTGAATTCAGAATCAGCATACGAAGGATGGACTCCAAACAATCAGGAATAAAAATGCCAGGGGCCTAAAATGTGGCACATTGAGTTAAGCCACAACCTCAAGGCCCATAGCCCACATGAATGCAGGTTCAATTCCTGGCTGCTGTCCTTATATGTACCTCCTTGCTAATGTGCCTGGAAAGCTACAGCAGGTGGCCCAGGCACACACAGGGGAAACATGGATGGAGTTCCAAGTCCCTGACTTCAGCCTGGCAGCCACAGCCAACTGCTTTGGCCTTTTCCATGTGACCAATGAACCTATCTCTCTCTGTGTGTCTTTCCCTCCTCTCTATAATTCTGCCATTCAAACACAAAAAATCTTCAAACATGACAAGCAAGGGAAACAGCACTATGGCACAGTAGGCTAAAATTCCGCCTGCAGTGCAAGCATCCCATATGGCCGCAGGTTTGTGTCCTAGTGGCTCCACTTCTGATCTAGCTCCCTGCATATGAACTAGGAAAGCATCAGAAGACGCTCAAGTCCTTGGGCTCCTGCACCCACATGAGAAACCCAGAAAGAGCTCTAGGTTCCTGTCCTCATATCAGCTCAGCTCCAGCCATTATGGTCTTTTGGAGAATTAAACAGCAATTAGAAGATATCTCTCTCCTCTCTCCCTCCCACCCTCCCAATCTCTCCTTCTCTAACTTTGCCAGTCAAATAAGAATAACATAAATCTTTAAAAATTGAAAAAAATAACAAAAAAAATTGAATCAAGATTTCAGCTGTGCCCACAACTAAAACCTCGTATATCAATCCAATCAACTAGGTTTCATGCTGAGGCGAGCAAAAGATAAATGTTATTCAGTAGCCTTTCACAGAGTATTCCCAATATCACATTCACCAATACAACATTCACCAAGTTCACTATAAAATTCAACATTACTAGACATACAAAGAATCAGAAAAAATTCGCTCCATTCTTAATAGAAGCTACAGTATATGGAAATCAACCCTAAAATGAGCCAGTTATCTGAATTAACAGACATGGATTTTATTTTTAATTGTCTGAGAGACAAACAGAAAAAGAGCCATGGCTGGAATGAGCCACATCAAAGCCAGGAGAAAGGAATTCAGGTAACTGGGCTCTCTCCAAGGCCTCCTTGAGCCTGCACTAGCAGAAAGCTGCAATGCTAAGCCAAGGCTGGACATCAAGCAGGCACTCTAACAGGTAACATGAGCACCTTGTCTGGGATCCCAACTGCGAGGCAAAGTGCCCACCTCACAGACAAGGATGAAGTAGCAAGCGTAACGCCACTCCTAACAACTGTAAAGTCAGTCAGGGCAGGGCGGGGGCTACAATATTTCACCTACATTAAACTATGCTGAACAGGATTTAGAGTAGATGGTGACAACAGGGGAAAGAATTTGTATATCTAAAATCAATCCAAATTATTCAATCTGAACAGCAGGAACAAGTTAAATTAACAAGGGAAGAGAAACAGACCATTGCCAGAACCCAAGGTCTAACATGTTTGGCTGAACTCTGAAACAAAAAAGATAAAGAATGAAGGAGAAAAATATGTTTTTAAATAGCATTGCAGTTTTACAAATTCAGTTAGACAAATTTACATATTCTAGATGTTTAGGAAACCAAAAAAAAAATACAAAGAAAACTGTGATTAGTAATAGCACAGTCAAATGGATAAAAACCAAAGACAATAAACACTGAAAGTATTCAAGAATAAAACACATTACAAATAGGAGCGCAATTACATAGCTAGTTTATTGTAAACAACATCAATCAGAAAGCAGCACAACAAAATTCTTCACACAGTAAAAGTAAAAACAAAAGCAAGACAAAGTTTTGTATCAATAAAAAATTTCCATCAAGAATAAAAATAAAATAAGGGCACCTGACAAGTACTTGTGCAGTATGCAGGAACTCAGCATAATGTACTACACAGGATCAGATTAGGATTCTCAGAAACAGTGGTGAAAAACCAAGCAACAAAAGAGAAGGGTTATTGCAAAACGCAACAAAGCTGCAAGAGCCCCTCTTCTGATAACTTTCTAAGGTCAGTTAATGTCTTGTTAGTTTGTCTTCTTTTTTTTTCTAAAAATATGCTGTTGTACAAATACACAATCCTTTGTGGACCACAAATGAAACAGATTTTAGTGAAATTACAGTTTTATTGCACTCTTAGAGCTAAATGTATATATTACTAATATATATACAGTATTATGTCCTGAGCAACCTGGAAAATAAGGATAAAACATTAGCAGGGTGACACAACAGTACCTACGGAGTTGTGGTTCACAGACGTTGATTTGGGAGAAAGAAGCAGATGCTGGAAAAGAAGTCACTGAAGGATTACTAACTTGACCGAATCCGAAAGGGCTGAAGCAGAAGCACTCACACCACAGCTAATCCAGTGGAACAACACTGTGATTTTGAGAGACCCTTAAAACCTGAAGTCCTGCATAAATAAGGACTGCTCCGGTTTCAAGGAAGGTGAGTAACTATAAATTTGAAGGGGTAAAAGCCATGTCTTCTCTGCAGCCAGATCAGCAATGGTTTGCTATTTTTAACACGAAGGCCACGTCACCTATGACCCAGGTCTTCAAGCCTTTAGAGAGAAGCAGTACTACAACATGAGGCAAGCAGGGCTCCACAGCTACTGCATCAGAGAAACCAGCCAAGCATCACACTCATCAGCATTAGCACAAAGCTAGATCCTGAGACCCAACTTCTATCTACCCAACTGTCTCTTAGCAAATGAAGTAAGCAACTCAGTGATCTCCAACTTTCATCTCGTTGTTTCTGTCAATAAAACACCAATGTAAAAAACATATGCTTGCATTTTCCAAAAACATCTATTCATTACTCATCCTATGTCCTCTTTCCAGAAATCCATGCCATATTGAAACAGTCTACTGTAAATATTACTAGTGTGGCTCAATGAACTAAGATAGCAAAAAAAATCTATAAACAGCCAACCATGATGGTAAATTTCAAGAAAATGGTTTTAAAACATCCTACTATGCAATATAAAGTATTGGGTATTTTTCACCCAAATGTCTTAATATTCACTATATTAATCTTTATATCACAGAACTTTTAATCTCATAGTTGAGGCAAATAGCAAAGAGACTGAAAAAAAGATACATGGGGAAAAGATAAAAACTGTTAAAACATAGGCAACAAAATTATAAAATAAAATAAAGTGCAAAATAAAGTGCAAACTGAAAGAGAATTAAATTCCTGATATGTTAGATGTCATCAGTGTTACTTTATATAATTTTGAAGAGGATTCATATCCTCAGAGTATAAATAACCCCTCTTACTTAACCTTACAAAGCTGAACTGTCCCCAGCAAGAGCTCAGCACAGAGATTTCCTATCCTGATCAGACAAGAGGAAAAGAAGTGTTGAAATTTTTTTAAAAAAACTATTATTTCCTCATTCTTTAAATAAATGCCCTCCTGATAAATTACTCTAGAAGTCTCCAGAGTACTAAAGCCAATATGGAGATAGATTATA